TGGAGGAGTTGTGGTGGTTTGACGAGCTGCCGTGGTTGGAGGAGTTGTGGTGGTTTGACGAGCTGCCGTGGTTGGAGGAGTTGTGGTGGTTTGACGAGCTGCCGTGGTTGGAGGAGTTGTGGTTGTGGTTGGATAGCCTGTTGTGGTTGGATAAACTGCGGTGGTTGGATAAGCTGTGGTGTTGGTCACAGCAGCTGTTGTGTTTCCTGGGTAAGCTGCCGTAACCTGGCGTTTACGTCGTGCCATTGTTTGGGGCCACTTTATTGTGTAGGATCCATCAGAGTAAGTTAGTGTGATGTCTTGGTTGGGGAAGTCTTCAACCACAAGCTCAACTGGGTGGTATCCAGTTTGAGCTCCAGAAGTATATGTAAGGGTGCAGGAATTCTGACAAGAAAGAGAAATGTCTTGAATGTTGTTTGTCCATCACTCCATCTATCCACCCAAGGGTGTCAGAAACATTTGTAATGTGGCCTCATGAGCTGTGTATGGCTTTTCTCTCTCTCCTGTGAGGCTCATGATGACTTGACTCGTTTGTATTGATTTCATTTTAACTGCAGTTTGTGGAGTATTATATTTTGGGAAAAAATTACTTTGAAAAAGAACTTCTGCCACTGTTTGGCTTCTTTCCAGCAGTTCATCAATTTCTGTTGCTGTTACTTCAACTGAACCACTGGCAGACTTAAACCACCAAGTTATATCACCTCTACACCAGTCATGTTTCTTCATTAGCAGAGCACTACGTATGGTGTAAACCTGCCCAAGTCTTGTTGTTAGTGTTCAGATCATGAAGTGTGATGAGCCGTTGTAAGTAACTCGGAAATCAGAGTGGAGTTCTCTCATCAATGAAATGGAATGGATTCTGGAAGTACAATTATATTGTAAATGCTGTGGTATTGCAATAATTATGTGACCCCTTCACAGATTTATTGTGATGCCCATTTATACACAGAGTTACTGAATTGCCAACATTATACTTGCCTGCAAAGAACCCTAGTGTACAATGGCACACCCAGAACATTTTCACTGGGGTGATCAGACAAGGGTAGTAAAATGCTATGGTGGCACATCTCAAAAAAATAATCAGCATTTTTTGATGGTTCACAGCCACCCTTGCCCCCACCCTCAGAAGCTCTACTGGCTATATGTACCAAAGCATATAGCCAGTAGAGCTTCTAAAAAAGCTTCTTAAAAAAAGGCAGGGTCTTTTGATCTAGTGACCTTTGTCCAAAGCTTGGGTGATACCAAACTGATCAAATTCATATTGGAGATGCTATTCCTCCAAATTTGACCCTCATCTGTGCCCACATCCTAAATAATTACTGTGGATTTTACCAGAAATTTTTCCCTACCAAGAAAGCAAATAAAGATTTCAAGTAGTAGAACTTGTTAAGTACATAGTGCTGGTCAGCTTTAGTTGTTTTCAGATAATAGTGTATGGCTAAAATTTATGTTGATGAGAATGTTTACAGATTGCAAGTTCACTTATTTACATTGAGTCATGAGCTGCTTATTTTACATCGAGACTGAGTTAAATGAGAGGACGGAAAGACACTTCAAAAACAATTTCCTCTAACTTTTGGTATAAATAGATTCTTACCTGTTCGAAAGAGAAGCCATTGAGAAGGCTGCATATATAACACTCATATGTACTAGAACTTGTCGGTAGTCTGCACCTTACATGGTCACCATCGGGGTCAACAGGTTTGATATTGAATGATCGAGGGCAGTTACTTG